CCCCCCCCCCACCCCGGCAGGAGGCGAGCCCCTGAGGAACTCACTTTCTCGGAGGCGCTGGCCAGTCTGGAGCCCGAGGCGTTGAAGGCAATGGCGGCCAGCGCCCCCTCGTGGGCAGCAATGGTGCAGACTGTCTTCTGTTGGCGAAAAGGAAAACGGAGGTTGATGCTGGGGCAGAGGGAGGACGCGTTTCGTCTCCTCTCCCTCCTCTTTCCTTCCGACACACCCTCCCTCCTCTGCTGGGTTCCCTGTTTCCCTCTTTCCACCAGGCCGTATGCATAGAAGCTGCACGTCGCTTCCCAGAGTATCTAGACGCTGCTGCAAGGGCTGCTGCGTTTCTGTCCCTTTTCCTGCCCTCGGGGAGATGGGCGACCACCCGTGTGGCCAGTGCGGTGATGTGACTGTGCTCTCCGTGACGCGGTTCTAGGGCCCGGCTTCCTGCAGCAATCCTGCCCGCTCTGTGAAGCTCGGAGAGCAGAGGGCAGGACATGGGACACGGCTGCACGCTGTCGCAGGCTGCGCCACGGCCCGGCAGGACGCACTCAACCCCGCCAAGACCCCCAGCCGCCCCGGCGTCTGTCCGGGCCTGGCAGGCTGCCTTGTGGCTACGTGGACGGAGGGCGATGAGGGCAAAGGGCATGACCTTCCCGTCCACACCCCACAGCTGTGGCCGGAGCTGCTTGCGCCTCTGCACCTCTCCCCCCGGCCACCGAGCCTGCCCCTCACCTGAAACTGACCACGCGGCCAGGCAGGGGGCTGGGCCGGCGGGGTCACCGCCAACTTACCAGGGCGTGTCCGTCGTAGAGCACGATCTCGCCTGTCGTCCGGCTCCCAGGATAGGCCACGTAGGAATTGGAATGGTTGATGGACAGGGCACACAGACCTGGGGGAGAGCAAACCGCACGTGAAAAGCCGGCGTCCACGCCCGGAAAGGGCGCCTGGACACGGCGCCACCTGCTGGCGAGGGGAGGAGCGGCCCTGCAGACCTCGACTCCCAGTTGATTCTTCTAATCCAAGGACCCTGATCAAGTAAATTCCCGGGACGACCTCGTGATTGGACACTGACCGTGTCCACGCCACAGCTGAGAGGTCGGAAGTTAAGACTATTTTAAACGTTCCTCTTCGCACTGTGCCCCAGGGCCCTGAAGTAACATCTACTTCTCTTCCAATTCCGTTACCCTCTGGGCTACAAGCTCCTAACTGAAATAAAGGGCAGCTTGTGGTGGCCTTTCTGCAGGTGATTAAATGTCATTTCAAACTGGAGGGTGGGGAGGCTGGGTGGCTTGAGGGGAGGACCTATTTAGAAATTGTTTCAGAGCCAAATGTCCTGCCTCGTTAAGGGAAATGGGTGCCTCCAGAGGGGAAATTCACTTGAGGGCAGTGAAGACGGTGTGTCTGCCGTCGAGACAAACTAAAGAAACACGACATGTTGGATTTAAGAGGCTTCAACAATATTCTGGAAGAGTAAACACCAAGTCAAACCACTGAACCAAACCTAAGTCATTTTTATTTACACGGGGATTGGAGGGGCGGGGGAGGATCCTAATAGCATTTAAGAAAAGGATTTTCACAACAATGGCTTCCATTCATAGGGGTGTACGTGATAGAAGTGAATTCACGGAATTACCGGAACCAGAAGCATTACCAGAATAAGAAATTGGAGATCAGGCAAGAGAGGCCCTTTTTAAATAGAAAAGGTAGCTTTGTTACAAGTTAGTGTGTTAAATGGGTTTCTTGTAAAAGCATAAGAGAAACTTCAGATCAGGCTAAAATGGACCTGACCCTCATCTGTTGGGGGAAGAGCAGAGGTTAAAACAAAAGCAAACGTCGAGAATGGGAACCAAGGTCCGACCTCCTGCTCGGGCTTTGCGGAGGACCCACCAGGCTGTGCCCTTATCACCTGCCAGGCAGCTGTGGGAGGAGGGTGACAGCCCAGCCCCCTGTCCTGCAGGCTCCCTGCAGCCCTCTCGCCTGTACGGGGTCACCCAGCCTTAGAAGAGACCACTCATGCCTTCTCAGTTTTGCTGAATGTTACACCCCCATGACTTTTGTGTGTGTGTGTGTGGTACGCGGGCCTCTCACTGTCGTGGCCTCTCCCATTGCGGAGCACAGGCTCCAGACGCGCAGGCTCAGCGGCCATGGCTCACAGGCGCAGCCGCTCCGCGGCATGTGGGATCTTCCCAGACCGGGGCACAAACCCGTGTCCCCTGCATCGGCAGGCGGACTCTCAACCACTGCGCCACCAGGGAAGCCCCCCCCCCCATGACTTATTGTTTAACTGGAAGTTTGTACCTTTTGACCCCATTCAACCATTTCACACCTCTCTTCCCCCGACCCCCAGCCTCTGGTAACCACCAGTCTTTCCTCTGCATCTGTGAGCTTGTTTGTTTTGTTTGAAGATTCCACATATAGGTGAGATCGTATGGTACTTGTCTTTCTCTGCCTGACTGAATTCACGTAGCGTGATGCCCTCAAGGTCCATCCACGTCATTACAGTGGCAAGATTTCGTCCTTTTTTATGGCTGAGTACTATTCCATTACATCATGTGCCACACCTTCTTTATCCACTCATCCACCGATGGACACTTAGGTTGTTGCCATGTCTTGCCTGTCGTAAATATTGCTGCAATGAACATTGGGCTGCAGATATCTTTTTGAGTTAGTGTCCCCATTTTCTTTGGATAAATACCCAGAAGTGGGATCGCTTAATCATAAGGCAGCTCAGTTTTTAGTGTTTTGAGGGTCCTCCACACTGTTCTCCACAGTGGCGGCACCAATCTACATTCCCACCAACAGTGCCCGCAGGCTCCCTTGCCTTTTTGATAAGAGCCATTCTAATAGGTGTGAGGCGGCCTTCAGAGTGTATGTTAACATGTAAATATTTCCAGAAAGGAAGGAAGCTTAAACTTCTTCCGCTAGCATGGAACTTCCTGTAACACCCAATGGAGAGTGAGTTGACACGAGAGTCCGACAAGAAGGGACCAAGGATGGCGGCGAGGGCAGGTACACCCTGCCACGTAACCACGTACCTGACAGCTCTGCCTCTGGCTCGCGCCTCGGCCAGCCCACCTGAATGTAGCCAAGGGGCCGTGCGTACCAACCTTTGCAACTTAATGACGCTCCCCAGAAATGCTGAACGTGAGCTCCTTTAGCTTCCTGTGGTCCAGTTCTCAGACAACTCCACCCAGCTCTAAGATTGCACTTTATTTCTTGTGAAGCCCCCAAGGAAAGTAGGAAGACTTTGCTATAGGCTTAGATATTCCCGTTCTACTCGTCTTCTGTTTCTGTCACAAGTGTCCCCTGAAACCCTTTATAGGAAGGGAAATGAGCCTTTTCTTTTTTTTCATAAATAAATAAATTTATGTATGTATGTATGTATGTATGTATTTATTTTTGGCTGCGTTGGGTCTTCGTTGCTGCGTGCAGGCTTTCTCTAGTTGCAGTGAGCGGGGGCTACTCTTCGTTGCGGTGCACGGGCTTCTCATTGCAGTGGCTTCTCTTGTTGCGGAGCACGGGCTCTAGGTGTGCAGGCTTCAGTAGTTGTGGCACACTGGCTCTAGAGCACAGGCTCAATAGCTGTGGCACACGGGCTTAGTTGCTCCGCGGCATGTGGGATCTTCCTGGACCAGGGCTCGAACCTGTGTCCTCTGCATTGGCAGGTGGATTCTAAACCACTGTGCTACCGGGGAAGTCCCAGCCTTTCCTTTGATATTATTTTATAATATAAAAGTGATCGTATAAAAAATCTGTAGAGCCCAGAAAATATAAAGAAACAGAAAAAAAAAAGTACCCATAATTCTAAAACCCAGAGGCTTTTCACTATGCTCAATATTTGAGTATATTTTCTTCTGGCCTTTTCTTTTTTTTAAATATAAGGAGTTAGGTTTTGATGTGGCTTTTGGACTTCAGACTTGACACACATTTTCATAAATCATGGTCAGCTATAATTCCACTGAAATGGTTTGGCTGTAATCCTTCTGCAGCTAGAGAAGAAAAATGCCCGATTTCCATTCAAGAACCAATGGCACCATCGGCTGGAATTAGAAGGAAGTCCTGTGATTCTAAATCATTCTTACCTTGGTATTTATAGTATTATGTGTCAAAATTAAAGCAAGTTAACAGTGATTTATAAAATGCGGTTCCCTCTGGGTTGATTAATGGAATATGCTTTCCAGTTTTTAAAAATAGAAAGGAGAGAAATCGTCTCTGCACTTACAGATGCTCTATGCTACCCTACCATTTACCCCACCTGCATTACATTTTCAGAAAGAGTGCTCGCTGGGGAATAAATGGCTACTCTGTCCCATTATACACATTGCTGTGTGGTGTAGACTGCTCCCCCAATGTTCCGTGAAAGCCTGTAAGACCGACAGCATCCCCAAGTTCTGCGGTTGGCGGATTTTTTTATGGAGATTTCCACCTTCAGCTGCTCAGGGTACAGACTGCTGTGCTAGCAGGAAATTAACTTCGAGCCTCGTCTGGCCAAACCCTTTAAAGGAAGCAGCCTGCAGTCTTTGACACAACAGGAATGGGCATGACACAAACAGACAGAAGGAAGGAAATTTACAGCCACGGCCGGTACTGAGCGTGAAGCAATGACAGGACTCTGTGTATATCACGTATTTGTAGTTCACAAAGTCAAAAGACATTCAGAATTGTGTGGCTGAGCCAGTCAGCCAAGAGGCCCCATCTCCCTGTGTACCCATGAAGATTCATCAAATCAAGGGCCAGAGTTTCCATCTTACAGTTTTTTGTTCAGAAAATACATGAGAGGGTGGGAACAAATGAAGGAGACTCCTGGCCTCTGAGGATCTTATCTACGTGGTTTTGGACTCTCAGAGTCTGCTGGGGGTCCTTCAGCGAGGGATGGGTCATGTCACTGCAGGGAAACTCTGACCTGTCCTGAGCCTGCCCTCCTGGCTGGAGATGGACATGATGCATGGAACCGGCCGGCGGGCGAGCCTGGCCGAGACTCGTGTGCCCAGCAGATGGGACTTCGCTCTCACCCCCTCCCCGCCCTCAGGGAGTCCTCCCCATAAGAACTCTGTGGGGTAAAAAGGATCATCTCCGTTTTACTGAAGTAGGAAGAGCTCAGGGGAAGCTGAGAGGATGATTATAAATGTCAGCATTTGAAGCCGTCTTGGCCTCTCTCTCCAAAGAACGTCAAAGGTGTAATAAGACACACGCTTTGGTCTTTCAACCCATCCCTGGTCTTTCAGAAGGGAAGGCTAAATCTCTCCCCCAGCCCACTGGTAATGTTTACCTGAGGACTCCTCCCATCATTTCTAAGCTGTCTTGAGATAAAACGATTCCCTTTGTGAGGTGCACACATCCTAACAGGAAGCACAAATGGCCCTACACCAAATGGCCCTACACCTGCAAACCTCCTTTCTCCCTGTTTAAACTGCAAAACTGAGGCCATCAGTGCGTTTTCTGAGCTAAGACAAATGGCTGCATTTGCTCAACGTTAAGAGGAGATGGGCTTTTCGCAGGAGGAACAGGTTTGGCCCTGAAGGCGGGCAGCACCGTCGCCTGGGCTGAGCGGCTGAGCTGTGACCGCAGCAGTGAGGGGGCTGCCGGCTGCCCTGACCCATGGGACGCCTGCTCGAAAGGCCGCTGACGGTGCCCAGCTCCCCGCCTTTCAAAGAAACGGAGAGTCACAGGCAGCTTGTGAGCTTTCTGCCCACCTGGCATGTCCCCTGCCCCCATGAGATAGCCCCTGCTCACCTGGCCTGTCCCCTACCCCCCTGAGATGTCCCCTGTCCAAAGCTGCCAGGGTCCAGCCCAGGCCCGCGGCTCCGGTGGGCTCTGCTCAGACCCCACTCACCTCCCTCGCCCTGTCAGAAGAGCACATCTTCCTTTCACCCCCTGGGTCCCAAACCTTCCAAAGACGCTAGGGCCCTTGTGCACCATGTCCCAAGGGTTTGGAGTTCCTGGCGTGTGGTCTGTACCTACAGTGCCTACTATGGTCCCGGGCACGTAGCATGTCTTCAATAAACACTTTTCCAGGTTAGTTCAACCTCTCATTCCTGAAAAACAGCACAAAACGAAACTAACCCCCCACCCCCGTCCCCGGCCACGGTCCCTTCACTTACCACCCTCCACTTGCGATACAGGCTTTAAAGTCGTTCTCCCACAGAGCTTTCTAACGGCCTCAATGGCTGTGATCTTTTCAAATACAGTACCGTTTTGTCAGGGCTGAAATTTTAAAGCACTGAAGTCAACAGCAAGGGCCATCTGTATAACTCAGATGAGGAGAAGGAAATGAGGCCAGAGGAGGAATTACTGCCCAGCAGGCCGTGAGCAGGTCACCGCCACAGACGGCTACCCCTGTGAGACGGGGGTTACGATTCCATTTTACAGGTGAGGAAACTGAGGCTCAAAGAGTCTAGGTGACTGAGGTCGGGCCACAGGGATCTTGAAATTCGGTGAAAGTCAACGAATTAGAAAGCCGCAGTGAACTGAAGCAATCATTTAACGATACTAAGCTGGAGTGCGATTTACAAATACTGCCCTGAATCATTAGATCCGCACACTGTTCTGGTTGGTGGCTCCTGTCCCACCACACAACTTCCTTCTCGTTTACTTCTGCCACCAGGGATTCACAGAATGTCATCGTCTGCCATCTCAACCTGACCAATCCCAGCTGCTCCCATTCTTAAATCAGGAAAATGTACTAAACAGTGTTAACATCTGAGAATTTAATACAGTCCAACCTCCTAGCATATCACCCACGCAGAGAGAATTGTCTGCAACGTAAGAAAACACATTTCTTTACGGTTTGGATTGTCTGTCTCCCAGTCAGGTAGAACCCACTTCTGATTATGACGTCTGCTCTATACTGAACAACCAGCAAAGATAACTAGGGGTGAGCACCTTGCAACGTCAGATGCAGGACGTCTCCTATGTGTCTGCCTAAATGCTTTGACACGTTTGCTGAGAACGGGTCCCAGGGGAAAGGAGTTTCTCCCAGGCTGCAGGGAAGGTCACACGGCCCTCCTGCAGGACGCATGGCCTAATATAATCTGAACCTGCTGCCGTTAAGACAAAGCTTCAAGGCAAACACCACGAAGATTTATAAAGCAATGAAGGACAAACGTTGCTTCGGGTTTTCAATTTGGGTGGAAACACAGCTGGTGCAAAAGGAGCACCCAGACACGAGATTTGGGGGCACCTGGTCCGGGCTGGGGCTCACCTGTCGGGTTTGGAGGAATATCCAGGATGGTCTTCAAAAGCTTCATGTCTTTAATGTTGTGAATGTAAATGGACTCCTCCAGGCAAACGAGCAGCCTCTGAAATCACACAGACCCATCAATCTATCAGGGCTGATTCCTCGAAAAGGGCCCGACCATCCCGAGATCACGCCTCCTTCCTGTGACTCCTAACTCGATTCGAAGCCGAAAGGGGGAGGAATTTTCACGATCCATTTGAAGCTTACGTTATGCGCGCACAGCCGCGTAGCCACCACCGTCCACCCGGACAGAAGCACAAAATGCAGGATCCTTGGACATTCCATTTAGAAATTGAGATTTCCTTCTTTTTTTTGTTTTTGTTTTTGTTTTTGTACTTTTCCCTCTCCTCGGTCCAGGGAATCCTGGACACTTCCTGACCAGACTCCCTTTGCCAGTGAAGACACTTCCGGGTAAACTTCTCGGTTCCCCTTCCCATCAGACGCCGCCTCGGCTTCCTTCAGGCTGGCGCTTCTCAGACTCTGATGAGCACCTGGCATCCCGGGGCAAGGCCTGGGCTCTGCCTGGAGAAACTTGTTCAGGGGGGTTTCAACACGGACCCCAGACGTGAGGACCACTGCTCCCGGGCCAGATCCTTTCATCCCAGGGAACAACTCTTGGAAAGGAAAGGACCTAAAAATACCACTAAGAAGCGGTGGGTTCCCCTTCTGGGAAAAGCCTGCAATGCTGTTTTCCCAGCTCAGAATTTTTCGGAAGACTGTCACTTGAACCAAGCGGAAAGATAACACTGAAACACTTTTCTCAGGTTTATGTAAGGCTCTGTGGCCACAGCGCTGGGTGCAGAGGGCTGACAAAAAAGATTCTAACAGGGTCTCCAAATTGACGGCATGTATCAGTGCTTCTCCGTAAAGTGTACACAGCCCCTGGTTCACCGCACCGCTTTGCCTTTCGCCTGCACTTACTACGGTCTGGACTAGAGAGCTCTATGCTTGTTGATGTTTGTGGGTTCGGGTTAGCTCCTGTGTCCCCACCCCCAGCCCCACGTGCGACCCCAGAGTACGGGGTCTTCACCACGCGCCTTCCTGCAGGGGCAGCCTCCATTCCTAGCTTCTCTGGCCTCATCCGCATCTTTCCCCACCAGCTCTTAGAGCACCACCTGCTCTGTGGTCCACTCGGCCGGATTTCAGGTCACCCCCCCAACCCAAGGGAAACACAGAGAACAGTGAGGGGCAAAGAGGAGGCACTTCGTCTGTGTTTCACTTGAGGGCTCGTTCCTGGGATGAGCACAACCCTGGCAATGGCTCCCTTTACTAATCAGTCTGCGGTCTCAGCAGAACCCTGGGCTGGCCTCCAGCTCAGCTCATTCCCTGTCACCCTGGCTCTCATCTACTTGTCTAGGTCCTAGAAGTAAAATCTCCTTTTGTCAACTAGAAAATTCTTTACAGCGTCTGCCCTTGGAGGCTTCCATCCAATCAGTCTCCATCTGGGTAATGAGGGCCCCTCAGAACAGATGGTCAAAGAACTGTGGACATTTACAAATCCAAATACATCTGGTTTATTGTCTTTATTCCACAGAATACCTTTCCTCTATTAGTAGAAGGGGATTAACAGCAACTAAAAATGAAACAGATCCCAATTACTGAATATTCTTCCATTCTACAGATTCAGAGGATAACAGGGGTTTTCTTTCTTCTTAATTCCCCACACAAATCTTGGACTTTTTTCCTGTTTTTCAGAAAGGAACTGCACAGCCTGAGGACCTGATGAAATAGACAGAGAAGCCTCTATTCTCACATCCTCGGGGGCCGGGGGGCGGGGGAGCGGCAGGACCCTGGCCTGGCAGGGAGGGCACACCAGCAGCCCCGTAAACCAAAAGTTTAGTCCCAAATCTGAATGTTTTTAAGAGAAGCAAACCCCGAAGACTTCCCAGACCTGTTTCAAATCATCTTCTTAGCAGAAGACATGCTAAAGGAAGAGAGCCCTGCTCGGCCTGGGGTCCAGCTGGTTTGGCCGTGAACAGCGGAGTTCTAGGTGCCGTGATGTTCTTTAGGAAATGTGGCCGGGGAACTTTGAAGTGAATGGTGTTTTATTGAGGAGAGGGTGGCACCTAAAGGTTAACAGTCCCATTTGCTGATGAAAATATCAGAGAGCAAGGGAGAGACATTATACAAATAAATACCGTGGATACCATTTGAGGGTTCTGATCTTTATGGGACATTTGCCTAAACAGTCTTAATTTTTATACCCTGGCTATCAACGTATGCAAAGGTAAAACGTCCTGCAAAGAAATTTAATGTGCAACCAAGACATTTCAGAGACAGCACTAGAGCCAAGAATTGTGCTTAAAAGCCTTCAAATGGAAAACCCTCAAACTGCCTTTCCCTCTCTTGCCAAGAACTGGGCTTATCTTCTTTATCCCCTGCTACTCCTTGCTTCTAAAATACGCCGTATTCTATTTCTCAGGCCATTTTCTACCACCCTGCTTTATACAGACTTGAATGGATAGGCAGTCAACATAGTGGATCAACCCAAAGAAACAATCTCTTCCTTCTCATAAACTTAAGACAGCACTTTGTCTCATTTGTTTAAAAAAGAAAAAAAAAAGTAAGCACTTAACAGTTTAGGTACAAAGGAGAAAACGATGTCCTCAGTGAGGGCAAGGGCCTCCAGCACCCTGGGAATATTTAGTTGAATACACAGATCTGCTTGGTCATAGAAAGAACCGATTTATTTGTTTTTGTATTTAATAGGCAGCCGGGAAACAGATATTCACTGAGCATTTTTCTGCCGGGCACTGTCTTTTCTACCAGGCCTTACGGTAGCGAATAAAATGGATACAGTCGCTGCCCTCATAGGATTTAAAATCTAATAATTCAAGGGAAACTCGGCTAGTACCCCCAAATGCTTATTTAACAGGAACTTACAGTTTTCAAAAGAATGTATATTGCACGTTTGAGATAAGACTAACCCTTCCTCCAACAAAGAAAACACCACCAGAAACATCTTCAAGGGTTAGCGGGAAGAAAGAAAAGGAGCGGCCTGGGACTCGGTCCCAGCAAGAGGAGGGGCAGTTTCACCGACTGGCTTCAGCACTAACCCAGGAGTACCACACTTTCTCTCCAGGAGCTTATTCTGACAGGCGTGACCACCAGCCGGCAAGGAATGCCACCATCTAGGGCCCAAACCAGAAGGGCGTCCCTCTGGTTTAAGGTGCCCCTGCAGTGGCTCACGGGACAGATTCTGAGCCAGGGTTCCACCCAGCCTGGCTCCAGGGGGACAGCGTTTGCCTAGCCGGTGGCGGATGTTTGAGAAATCACAGCAGGCGGAAGGACCGGGGCCCGGGGGCAGTGCGGACGGTCTCACCACCGAGACAAGTGTGTGGCGTAGACTCAAACCATGTCCCCATAATCCTCGGCCTGAGTTTTAAAACCCCCGACAGAGCTGGATGCTGGCGAGAGATGACCATCCCGAGAGATGCTCCTCTTTGTCCTTGGTCCCCAGCGGCGGGTGCCTTGTGACCCGGAGGGATGCGCCAGCCCCTTACCTGCCGGTTCAGCCTGATGGACAAGACGTTACTGGAGTAGCTGTAGCTGCAGATCTCCGTGCCCTTCTTGAAGTGGTAGACGTTCATCTGACGAGGCTTCGTGTGGCTCACCACCACCACCAGGCTGCTGGAGAAGAGGCGCTCCACGATGCAGACGTCGGGGATGTCATCTGCGGGCCGGAGTGGGGAGGCGGCCGAGGGGACGCAGACGTCAGCCCGCCGGCCTCCTCGGGGTCCTCCCTCCCTTACCGCCTGCTTGCGGAGCTCCCCCGCCCGCTCCCTCGACAGTGAACTTTTTACCCGTTTCCCAAGTTCCCAAGCCCTTTCCAAGATGGACAGTCAGGCAGACCCCGGCGATCAGAACATAAAGCCGGGCTTTCCAGAGCATCCCCTGATGCCCTCTGCGGCTGGAATCACAGCCCCGCCCCCGGGGCCGCTGACCTCTCTGCAGAACATATCTTGGAGGTTTGGATCAATCCACTCTTCCTCCACGAGAGGTTGCAAAGGGGTAACTACTCTGTCGGGAGGCTCTGCTTTCGGAATTCTTCTGTTGCCTGTTGCTAAAAGGTAGAGGTGCCACCATGATGGGGGAGGGGAGGGGCCAGGAACAGTGAATTCTGTGCCTCCTGTCCGGCTTGCTGTGCTCCCTGACTCTCTCCGGAATCCCTTTCCTGTTGATAATACCCCGGACATCTGGGTTATGACCAGGGAAGTCCTTCTGTACCCAGGAAGAAGGTAAATCAGGAAGCCTCTTGAGCGCCTGTAGACAGGAGGCCTCCGTGTCTTTCTGGGAACATTCTTTTCACATGCCTGCCTTTCTTGGGCTCCAGCAAGTCCCATAGGGAACAACGCAGGACAGATACAGAGCAGAATCTTCACAAAGATGTTATAATAAAAATAACATCTTACAAGTGAATTGGGAGCCTAAGATATTATTTGCCAAAAGCCACTTTCTTTCCAGGAAGTCTGAAGAGTGTGTTTTCGTCAATATGATGGTGGCATAAACAACAACTTTCCCTGAGACAATGAGAGAGGCACGTTTCTAAGCTGGACTTGTTTTTAATATTCACTAGAAGCACTCAGTGTCTTTGATATGGACTCTGTGAATGGGAGACCTACTGCTTTCTTAAAACAAGGAAAATACTTCCATGACTGAACGAATGTTACCAATATTCTACAGTGCCAATAAAAGGGCAAAAAAAAAAAATCGTAAGTGAACTTTCAGTTCAACAGTTATAAAAACTGATGACCGTGCATATGAGTATACGAAAAAGTGTCAACAATACAGTTTCAAAGGATTTCTTAATGTAAAAAGAGAATGTTACTTCAGCTATTGCCAAATATTACTAGTGTTTCATGGTGGGGTTTTTTTTTGTTTGTTTTTGTTGTTGTTGTTGTTGTTGTTTTTGCGGTACGTGGGCCTCTCACTGTTGTGGCCTCTCCCGTTGCGGAGCACAGGCTCCGGACGCGCAGGCTCAGCGGCCACGGCTCACGGGCCCAGCCGCTCTGCGGCACGTGGGATCTTCCCAGACCGGGGCACAAACCCGTGTCCCCTGCATCGGCAGGCGGACTCTCAACCACTGCGCCACCAGGGAAGCCCTGGTGGGGTTTTTTTTTTAAAGCAAGTGGAAACAATGATTTATATTTAAATCTGAAAAAATACTGACTGTAAGTTTGCAGGTTAATGGAGGGAAATGTAGAAAGTTGAGCAGCGCCCCAGCTTCGAGTCTAGAGGGAGGATTTGGTGCCCTGAGGTTCTCACACACACACACTTACTGCTTCCGTGGACGGGGTCCAGCTGCTCCACGGAGCTCAAAGAAAACAGCTTATAACCAGATTTGGTTCCAATCGCGAGGGATCTGTGAAGGCAAGGACAGCCTGGGAATGACAACAGGTACTGGGTCCAACCACAGGTGTGTCTGAAGAGAGACACCCTCCGTCCCTCTAGCCTCAGATAAACATACAGCCTCAGGAGCCGAGACATTTGATCACTTTCTAGACGGAGAAGCAAGCTTGCCTTGTCAGGTGGGCAGGTCCAGTAGAAAGGACGAAGTCAAAGACAGCTACACACAAACATGTGAAACGGTGAAGAGACCTGAAACTGAATGGGCTCTGTCGTCAAATGAGTGTCAGACCCACCAGAAACCATGCTTTCCCAGCTGGGCAGAAATAGGAAAAATGGCATGTTTGACAATATTCATCACAGTGCTACCAGGAGGTAAATTTTTTTTTTTTTCTTTCCTTCCTTCCTTCTTTCTCTCCTTCCCTCCCTCCCTCCTTCCTTCCTCCTTTCTTTCTTGCTTAAAAAAGACATACGTGATCTTAGAAGACACAGTAGGTCATTAGCAGGCAAAATTTAATAGATGCTTCCTTCCATCACTTTCCATGAAAGCATCTCAGATACTTTATACCAGTTGTTCTCATCCCTGGCTGCACATTAAACTCACCTGGGAAGCTTTAAGAAAAATACTGATGACTGTCTACCCTGCTCCCCCAGCCCTGTGCTTTTTATTTAATTGGATTTCTTTCTTTTTTTTGTTTTTTTCAGTTCAAGTACTTTCATGGGCAGCCATTCATGGGCAGCCATGGTTGAGAACTCTGCTTTATCCTCTGCTTCACAAAGCCAGCACTGCAACCTACCAACAGAGCAGAATCTAAACCTTATCTGGGACAACGGGGGCTAAAAGAATTTTGTCTTCTTCTTTTTTATTTATTTATTTTTTAAAAAATTTTTTGGCTGTGCAGTGCAGCCTGTGGGATCTTAGTTTCCTGATCAGGGATCAAACCCACGTCCTCTGCATCGGAAGTGCAGAGCTTTAACCTCTGGACCGCCAGGGAAGTCCAGAATCTTGTCTTCTTAATTTTTCACTCTTCAACCGATAGATACAGAGTGTGCACCCATGTTTCTTTGGCCCCAGGATGAAAGCAAATGAGTCAGTTTTGTTCAGCAGCTGAGAATTCCTATCTAGCTCTCTCCTGCTTTGCCCTCAACACCTCAGTGATGACCAAAATCTTACCCAGAGCACCCTCAGAATAAGCCATCAGACCCTGACCCCTGGGAAATGGGATGTCAGGGCTGAAATGGGCCTTAAAATGGTCCTACGTGGACCTAACAATTAGTCCAACTCCCTCATTCAAAATAAACATACGAAAAGGTGAGCTTCGGCTCTTCACAGGGAGACATAGACTAAAATAAGCAGCTTACTGCTACAAGCCTGGATGGCCAAGGCTCTTGTTTCACTAGCCTAAAAGAGAGAAGGTCATATGATTCTCCCTGGAATTTCCTTTTTTTTTCTACCCTAACGTTTGTTCTTCCCTGGGATGGCAGTTGACTTTTAATCAGCAAGGTGGCTGCTTCTGCTTCTTTACTACCCGCCACCCCCCCGCCCCCGCCCCCAACCGACCGGGGATTAGACGTTTGCATCAGGCAACAGGGCGCTCAGAACTGGGGCTTGGCTTCTAATGACAACAAACTCGAAAGGCCAGCCAGCCGCATCTTGAAACTTCAAAATATACATATACTCCATAGTGATCACTGTTTCTAAACTTTCTTCCCATAAACTTTTTTCACATAACTGTGTGTGTGCAGTTAGTTGCAAACCAAGGTTCCTAAAGCTTGCAAGTAAGGGGAAAAATGTTGTAATCAGAGTCTAATAATATTAACCAAAAGATCTGGTAACTTAAAATAACTTTCAAACATATGCCCTTCTCCACAAGATTTTTAAATATGGGAGATGGCAGTGTGATCACTGTTGTGTTTTAAATGGTTGATCAATGACCACAAAAAACTCTGAATCAAGGAATTCAGACTAAAACCTTATTTCATTCATAAGGTCTTTCTGTAGGAAGAAAAAAAATTCTCATCACCTCTCATGAAAATGGGATTTGGGACAAATATATACCACGAATCAAATGAAAAAAAAAAAAAAAAAAACACCCAAATTGTCTGGCACAGGGCCAAGCATGAAGGATGAGTGAGATTGCTAAAGGTTAGTTGTCTTCTAACTAACCTTCTCCAGAAAAACTGGACCCTAATTTTTTTTTTTTTTTTTTTTTTTGTTTTTGTTGCGGTACGCAGGCCTCTCACCGCTGTGGCCTCTCCCGTTGCGGAGCACAGGCTCCGGACGCGTAGGCTCAGCGGCCATGGCTCACGGGCCCAGCCGCTCCGCGGAACGTGGGGTCTTCCCGGACCGGGGCACGAACCCGCGTCCCCGGCATCGGCAGGCGGACTCTCAACCACTGCGCCACCAGGGAAGCCTGGACCCTAAATTTGGCCTATACTTATAGAAAAAGACACGCTGACACTCCGAAATGTATTCGGCAAGGGGCTTGACTTATTTTAAAATCCAATGCCATACCCTCTGAGGCTCAAAGCAACTGACTGTGACAAAAACTTTTATTTATAGGTGCGACAGAGCTGCCCAGCAGAGCCAGGGAGACAGAACTGACAGTAGGGACTAAGGACATTATCTTCCCAAGCACCCTACGGTTTTGAAAATAACATTCTTATCCAACCGCTATAGAAAGCTGGGACTTACCTAGAGTAAAAATTAACATCCCTTTAAAAAAATGTAATAAACAATGCTACAAAGCAGAATTGAGAACATTTCCTACTAAGAAGCAAACTAGCCAGTTGCCCTCGTTAACCTGCTTTCAACTGGGAAGGCAAACACCCAGGCATTTCAACAGCCATCCTCTTTTGCAAAATGTTTCTTACAAAACATCAGAAGTGAATCTAGACCATCATTTTTGTAAACTGTGGCTGTCAACCCATGAGAAAATAATTTAGTAAGTCACCAATGGCTTTAAAAAAAAAAGAAACACAAAATGCCAGAGGGTATTGCACACATTAAGAGCATGTTGTGAATTGCTTTTCAGTGATATTATACATATATGTGTGTGTGTGTGTGTGTGTGTGTGTGTGTGTGTGTGTGTATACACACACATCTATATCTGGATATTGGGTAATGTTGTAATCTGTATTTCTTATTGTGGGCTGTGGAGGAAAGCTTTCAAGGAAAGCTTGAAAGTCCCGCTTCTAACCCAGTTGTCCAGCTACTGGATTACACGATTACACATACAGCTTTTTCGAACAAAGGTATATTGTTTGGCAGAGGGTGTTTTTAAACAGAAACACAAAGGGAATGGAAGCCAGGGTTGCTTACGGTACACGATGGCCTCAATTACACCACCGAATGTTCAATATTAGCATAGCCCAGGCACAGACAGCCAACACACACCCGAAGCCGACTCCAAACAAGGAGCACAACAGAGACTGGTACAGCAGGAAATGGGAAACTGGGAAGAGGTCACCACTGCCTAATGCTCTGGGTGCACATTCCAAAGAGATTATTCCATATGGTGCCCAGAGCTGCTGTCTAACAATCCCATGAGAAGAGGTAAGGGAGCAGCAGTTTGCTTCTAAGGGACACCCTCCAGATGCCTGAAACGCAGTTCAGCAACTCCCGGCTCTCTGGCCAAAGTCCCAATGGGAACATCAAGGTGAAACGTTAAAAATCCAGTCAAAAGGCAACAGAGCGGAGTTCATGCTTCTCCCGGAAGGCAGCCTGGGCGGGGAAAGGGCTCCTGGACTCCCAGGAGGAGGCTCGGCCTCTCCAGTGGGCTACGTGAAGACACAGTGAGAGCAACGGAGAGGCTCCTGACACCCAGATCCGGCGGGCGAGGTGCCCTGCGCTGGGGCTGGGACCGGGGCTGGCCTGGCCGCAGGGATAGGCTGCCTCTGAGTCATTGGCCCTGCCCAGATGCCACGTTGAGATGCTCAAGGACAAATGGGAAAGTTTTTCCTGCACTCCCGTCTTCCTGGGCCCCAGCGACCTCGCCTTGGGTCAGCTTGCAACTTGCCCGTCCTCGCCCATCTCCTTTGCTTTGGCCTCTGCCCCTCCTTCCCCAGACCCCCACTTTGGTCACTACCCCGCCGCCCCGTCCCCCCACGTTCCTGGGCCTCCTTCAGCCCCACCCCCCC